GAAACTAAGGCTCGGAGAAGGTTCAATGACTTGCTCAGTCCGTCAGGTTAAACAGAAAACTACCAATTAGTACAACCAGTGAGCTAACGAACTCCTAGGGCAGCAGAGTTGGACGAGTGGTGGAGACCCCAGATGGATAATCTGCGGGCGCCCTAACACTAAGTGAGGATGAGGCGCGGGGAGAATCGGGCCGCGCAGGAGGGGCGGGGTGGCCGGAGCCGGGGGCCGCTACCTCTGTGCGGCGGTACAGCGTGGCCTCCCCGAAGGCGCCGCGGCCCAGAACGCGGATGGGGATGTAGTGCAGCTCCTCCTGCTCCGCTGCGCCGCCGCCGGCTCGCGGCCCCGGACCGGCGCTGGGCCCCGGGCCCGAGTCCCCGCCACCCCCGGACTCGCTCCCAAAGTCCGAGTTGAGGGAATCGCAGTGACGCTCGTACTCGCCCAGCACCGACATGGCTGCGACCGCGGGACCGGCCTGCGGGTCCCCAGCGGCGCTGCGCCCCTCCCGCCTCAGACGCCGGCCCGAGGTTCCGTCAGCCCCGCCACCCCGCGAGGTTCCATGGTGGCTCCTTCCCCCCCTGACCCGGAAGCAGTCCTGGGAGCTTCCGGCCCGGCGGGGTTTTCTCCGCCTGCGTAGGTCGGCTAGCTTAGCCTCGGGGCAAGACTTCCTTCCCTCCTGGCCCACGGGGAAGGCGAGGCCTGGGGAGTGGTTGGCGGCGCCTGGTGATGACTGCGTGGAGCTGAAGGGCTCCGGCAGGGCCAAGGGAGTCACTGACATGCCTGCAGATTCCCCACCACAACTTCCCTGGCCAGGTACCCAGACGGCTTTGAGGTCCAGAGGTCGTCCAGTCTCATCTTGGCAACAGACCTATCTCAAAGGCAGTGACTGGGGAATCGAAGTCTATAATACCTATATCGGAGATGTTATAGTAAAGATATTATACTAAGCAGGAATATTTGCCCCGTCATCTCAGTCCGTGGGTTCAGGTATTTCTTCCAGAACTACTCTGAGTCCCTCCCTCTTCCACAAAGCTCTCAAGAATATTTTGTTTCCTTTTCCATTTTCTTTTTTATTTTTAAAATAGAGGTACTGGGGATTGAACCCAGGATGCTAAACATGCGCTCTACCACTGAGCTATGCCCCCCTCCAAGAATATTTTAAGTCCACTCTCCTTTCTTTTTCTTTTTCCAGATTTCACATTCTCCTTCCATGTGTCTTTCCAAATCTTTGACCATCTGATCTCATGAAACATTCTTTGAGCGCTAGGTGCCACATACTGTATTTGGAGGTGGGGAGTCTGCAGAGATGCTCCCTGCCCTCAGGTCTAAGAGAACTGCGATACAGTGGAAAAACGTGTTTCATCATTTATGTAACCTTGGGCAACTTCACATCTATAAGGTGGTTTTTTTAATCTGTAAAATTGTGGGAATATGACCTACAGAGATAATAGCTAACATTTATTGTTATATTCTTGGTACTGTGCTGAAGGTTTCCTTTCCATGTATCATCCCATTTAATCTTCATATTATTTCCATTTTACAGGCGGAACTGAGATAGAGGGGTTAAGTAATGCTCAATGTTACACAACTACTCAGGGGAGCTGGGAGTCAAAACCAGCAATATGGCTCCAGGTCTCTCTGAGAACAGGATGTACTGGAGCTAAGAGAAGATCATGTGGCTGGAGGTCATGGCATAATGTGGGGTAGAAGCAGGAAGACAGGGGCCTCAAATGTTTACTTTGGAATTTGGCTTTTCCTATGGACAGTGGAAATTTACTGATTTTTAAGCAGGGGACTACATAATTTGTGTGACTATATGTCCCAATTTGCTGGGGATGTCCCAATTTATACCTTTCCCCCCTAGCATAATTCATTAATGGAGTCTTCTTTTGCTCAAGTGCCCAGCTCAGATGATAAACAATATGATCACCTCACATAAGACCAAAGTTATACTTCACAAAGAACTCTAACAACAATATGGAATACAAAGACTGGAGACTGGGAGACTGGTACTGGGGTGCTTTCTGTGTGTGGAGAGGAGGCCCAGATTTAAGAAATTCATCTGGAAAAAAAAATTCATCTAAGGATTATTTAGAACATTGTCATCAGTTGGGATATGGTTGGTGAGGCAAGTCTGAGTCCAGGAGATTCAGGTCTAGGTTTCTGAGTAGGTGGATACTGACAGCAAACATAGGAGGAAAAGAATTGGTAGAATGGGGTGAAGGGTATGAGAGCTAATGAGTTCACATTCCTCTGACCTCTAGAGTTCATCAACATTCCTTTTAAAGTATGATGTCCTATACTCTGTATAACGTTCCACATTGGGTCTGAATAGTAGAGTACAAGGAATTTCAGTCTTCCTTGATCTGGATCCAATTTTTCTAATGTCCCAGCCTTCATGATGATCTGCTTATATTGTGCTTGTATTTAACCAGACCTATGTCTCTTTCTCATCCTATCTGAACCAAAGTAACACAGCCCTCCCACCAGATCATATCACTCCTTATTTTCTTCACAATGCTTATCTATAAAATTGATGTCTTGTTTATTATGTTTACTTTATTGACTATCTCCAATTATTAGAATATTAGCTCCATGAGAGCCTGGATTTTATGCTTTTGTTCATAGTGATGTATCATCAGTGCCTAGAGAAGTGCTTGATATTATGGGCTTAAAAATTATTTGTTGAATGAATATCAGATCATTATTATCTGGTATGTATGTAACATTTTTTAAACCTAAATGTATGACTGACTGATAATCCTTGTTAAATTTCATTTTGTTGGTTTAAATCCAGGGGTCTAGATTGTACAGATAGTTCTGAATTTTCAATTCATTCATTCAACAAACACTGAGTACCAACCTGTGCCAGGTGCTGTGCTGGGTTACAAAAGAGAACAAAATAAACATGGTTGCTACTCTTCTGGAGCTTACACTCCATATAACAATTAACCAGGCAATTACAGCAGTGTGTAAGTGCTATTATAAGGAAAGTACAATCTTCTAGAAAGAGGGCAACTTTCCAAGCCAAATTAGCTGGGTTAATGAAGGCTTTCTGGAGGAATATCCAAAATGTTAAGTCAGTGATGGCTAAGGAAAGTAGGGAGATCATCCTGGATAGAGGCCATTCCATCTACTTCCTCCTGTTAATTAGAAGGCACCTTGAGGATAAGCATGCTTCTTGTTTATCTGGGTCTACTCCAGAGTTTAGTTCAGCACATTAAACAGAATAATCAATAATTGTTTTTTGAGTTGAATGGAAAAACCAGTTACTTAAAACCGTAAGTGTTGACTTTCATTCCAAGAAGCTAAGTAGTTTTCAGCCAAAGCTTAAAAATTCAAGGGGGGGATATAGCTCAAGTGGTACAGTGCATGCTTAGCATGCATGAGGTCCTGGGTTCAATCCCCAGTACCTCCTCTACAAACAAATAAATGTAATTACCTGCCTTCCCCAATTAAGTAATACAGTAATAAGTAAAATACTTTTTAAAAATTTGTTTTTTCTGACATCTTTGCAATGAGGAACTAGACAATTTTCTGTAACTTGGTTAGCCTGATGTTGTGAATTGTTCTAGTTATAACACACAGATATAAGCTTAACAAACATCCTTTTCCATCTCAGAGAATACAGAACAGAAACACTCTTGCTCAGCACTTCATTATACAAGATATAAATGAAACTAAATATCTGACTTTTGAATATTCTTAAGTCCTCAACATTCTGAAGGTATAACTGATTTAACTGATTTTAAAGTGCCCTTGCAAAAAAAAATGGGTATTTCAATTTTATACTTTAACAAGCAAATAGTTAGGATGATATATAGCATACATTCTCACTTGTGAATAGCAGATCCCCACAGGCCAAAGAGTTACTGTTAATGTTAAAGAAACTACCAAAGTACTAAGCAAAGTCTCTGTCTTCACTGTCCAATATAGTAGACACTAGCTACATGAAACTATTAAGCATTTGAATTGTGGCATCTGAATGGACATGTGCTGTAGCTATAAAATGCACACTAGTTTTCAGACTTTATATGGAAAAAGAATGTAACGTATCTTTGTCATTTTTATATTGACTACAGGTTGAAATTGTTTTGGATACATTAGACTAAATATATTATTAAAGTTAATTTCATCTGTTTCTACTCTTTTAATGTGGTACTAAAAATTCTGTATTATTCATGGGGCTCATGTTATTATGTGAGATACCACAGTAGCAGACTGAATAGGTAATAATTCTCAAAACATGTACAACTGTTTAGAGTGTATATGATACTGCTGAGACAACTAAATTTAAATTCACTTATACATTTTGCTGAATTCATTATTTATGTTCTCTAAAACATCAGGGAGAAATAAGATATTTTTGATGTTAAAGTATACTCAAATGTTGGGAACCACTACCTTACTGACTATAGATTCACTGACATAATTTATTGTTTTTTGGGGGAATGGAGGAAGAGGATAAAAAGAGGCCAGCTAGTCAATGTGCAAAGCACTTCAGGTTGACTCTTAGAAGCTTTATGGAAAATGTTCAACTCCAAGTAAAAGGAAAAGAGAAGATGGCTTTGCTTGCTAGAGTGGGGTTTTGCATAGATATAATGGGCCAAAAAAGCAAGTCCTGCAAGGTTCTAAATTGGGAGGGGTATTTTAGGAATGGAGGGAAAGGTTGAAGACTCTCTGTAGGAATAATTCCAATAGCAGTTTTCAAAACAGAGAAGCTACAGAGAATTCCTAGTTAACAAAACCCTATTTGGTCTTTCTGAATATGTGTAATTATTATTATTTATATACACATTATGTATAGTTTATACACTTATATATAAAGCATAATAAACTTTAGCTCACATAAACTTTATCCATCTGGAGTAAATTATGGACTTTTTCCCCTCTAATTTGTCACATATAATTTGCCATACTTTAATAATGAGGAATATGGAGGAATTATTGCCAATCCAGACAAAGAAATACTCAAGAGTAACAGAAAAATACACCTAAAATGGTCTGCTAGACTTTATTTGAGAAAATTTACACAAAAATCCCCAATCCAATACTTACAAGTGAATCTGTATAAATCCCACATGCCTCTTTCCATTAAACAAACAGAAAAATGGCTTATGACAGGGGATTACGACAACAGATAACAAAGCTTACTAAAACTGTATCATTCTCATCAATCATTTACAGACTGTTGATTAACCGGGTCAAAAATGGAGGAACGCAGATAACATCCTTGTTTTTAAAGCTGATTTGCTCTTGCACTAATCTTTTACCAAAAGCAAAATTTTTACTTTTTAGATAAAATCAAGGTATAATGTCAATGAACTTTAAATCTAAAGCATAAATGCCCAAGTTGGTAGTTTTGGCATGAGTAAAAGGAAAGGACATGAAAAGAATTTCAGTTTCACGAAGTCATATTTGGGAATAAAACATCAGCAAAATAAAATATTCTCCTCTCCTATCTTCTCAGACATTTTGTCAGAACAGAAGACTAACCAACTCAATAGCTTTCATTTCTTCTAAAAGGGAGAAAGGCACCAGTCAGAAATATGAAACAGTATCTTGTTAGGCTAATGGTACAGAACAGAATTTCACCTTTAAGCATCTAGGGATGGATCTTAACTCACAAATTTGGTTATTTTCTTTCCTGCTTGGATATATCCTCTGTTGTTCAGTATGTGTAATACCACAGATAGACCTTATCCACATCTGCTGCCTTTATGATGAGGATTTGACTGCCAGGGCCTCAGAAGCAGTACCTACCAATTCTTAACAGCAGATGGCAATGTTGCACAAATTAATGAAAGAACCACTTTTATGCCACACCAGAGAAATTCACACAGGGAGTCAAAGGAAGGGGGAAAAAAGGCTTTGGGGTTCACAGTAGCTGGAACATTAAGAGAAGAGCCTGAGATTTTAACAACATAACTCACTACCTCTTCCCCCTTTGTACTTTATCCAGGTCATCACAGCAGCACTCTCTTGTTAATTCCAATACGCTGCCAAACTACAGGGCCCTAAATCCTGTAATTCCTGCCGTTGCTATTAGACAAGCCCTATAACAGTCGGCAGGGGTCAAAAAAGAGATTACAGAAAGGACAAACTCCTACCTACTTTACTGGAAGAAATGGCGAAAATTTCAAGTGATGGTATTTTTCACAATTGTTTACGAACATGGTCATGTGTGTCCACACTTTCTCTTATTTACATTAGTATTGGCCTTTAGGCACTTCATATTCCCATAGTGATTCTTGGCTTTGCTTTCACAACATATATTTTCAAGTATTTACTCTATTCATGATCCTCCCAGGTGTGTTATTTTTAAATAACTCTTATGTCTTCATTCTCTAGATGGAACACGTAAGAACAGAAATTAGATGGAACACATAAGAACAGAAATTAAGTCAGTGACTTGCCGTGTAAGAAGACTTGGTAAATTTTACTTATTTTTTCTTTTGTAGAAGTCAGGTTAAAAATTTAAGCAACCACATAACGGACAAAAGACTTGTATCTAGGATATACAAAGAACGCTCAAAACTCAATAGTGTAAACCAACTATACTTCAATTAAAAAAAACCCCAATAGTAAAAAGAACACACAATCTAATTATAAAATGGGCAAAGGACATGAACAGCTATCTCACTGAGGAAGATAAACAGATGACAAATAAACACATGAAAAAGATGTTCAACATCATCAGCTATCAGGAAAATGCAAGTTAAAACCACAATGAAGTATCATTACATATGCCTATCAGAATGACTGAAAAATAAAAAATAATAGCAAATACTGGTGAGGATGTGGAGAAACTGGATTGATCATACATTGCTGGTGGGAATATAAAATGGATAGTCACCCTGGAAAAAGAGCAGGACAGTTTCCTACAAAAATAAACTGTTTTCCATACAACCCAGCAACTCATCTCTTGGGCATTTATCCCAGAGAAATAAAAATTTATGTTCACATAAAAAGAACCTGTACATGAATGTTCACAGCAACTTTATTAGTTAGTAATGGCTGAAAACTGAAAACAACAACCCTGATGTCTTTCAGTGGGTGAATGGTTAAACAAACTGTGGTATATCCACACTATGAAATATTACTGAACAATAAAGTGGAACAAACTGGTGGAATATGCAACAACTTGGATGGATTTCAAGGGCATTATGCTGAGTGAAAAAAGTCAATCTCAAAAGGTTACATACTATATTATTCCATTTATATAACACTCTTAAAATGACAAAATTAGAGAGATGGAGAACAGATAAGTGGTTGCCAAAGGCTGAGGCTTGGGGGTAAGGAAGGAAGTGACTGTGGCTATAAAAGGGTAGCACAAGCGATCCATGTGGTGGAATGGCTCTGCATCTTGTGACGGTAGTCACATGAATCTATACGTGATAAATGTACAGAACTAAACACACATAAACACATAAACACACAAAAAGAAAAAAGTTCAAGCAACTGAGCACAAATATTTTAATTCTCTAAAATGAAATTTTCTTTAAGAGTTATCTACACTTCAAAGCTCATTTGTATGAGGTGTCACATCCATCACCCTTTAAAGAGACACAAACTTATGAAAGGGTATCACCAGAAGCTACCTAAACATTTCAGCTAAGAATCAAGAGAAAGTTAAGGGTGTTGTCACACAAAAATTCAAACAGGACAATCTGAATGAAACAAGTTCAACATGGTCATACAAATCTTGGTAAAGGAACTAGAGTGGAAGCCCAATTGGTGAGCAAGTGGGAGAAGGAAAGAAAACATGGTTCAAACAGATCATACGAGGAAACCCAGTACAAATGCTGGCTTTGGCATTATCTAGGTAACCCCTATTTTTTTGTCATAGGTGACTCTAATAATAGTCTTACTGTCAAAACCAGTCCAAGTCCTACCAAGTTAAAAAGAAGTCCCTCTTTGACTTATTGGGTGTAGGTGGTAATGACGTCCTCCCACACCAAAAGAGATCAGTTCTGGCGAGAAAGCTCCAACGTGCCATGATGGTGCTGTTGGTAGGATGCTTAGGCTAGGCACGTCCCAGCGATGTTCTGCTGGCTAAGATACAAGGTAGGAGGAGACTGGGCTTTATTACTCAATCAACTTCTTGGCCTTAAAGAAGCGACGCAGGTAGAAGACCTGCCAGGTAGCTAGTCCAATGAGGCAGAACATTGAAAAGATGCTGAAGTACAGGACCCGAGTATTTGTTGACTCTAAAAAAAAAAAAAAAAAGTGTTGTAAATGTAATGAAGTGAGGATCAGCAGGCTAAACGATGGCCAGAGGAAAAGGCAATTAATTAGCTTCATTCTGTCCCTAGGCCTTACAGTAGGATTTCAGATAGTTTTTTCTTAACTTTTCATTATTCGATATATAAATATTGAAAGTTACAGAGATTGAGGGGGAGGTATAGTTCAGTGGTAGAATGCATGCTTAGCATGCATGAGTTCCTGGATACAATCCCCCATACCTCCATTAAAATAAATAGATAAATAAATAAACCTAATTATCTCCCCCACAAAACAAACAAAAAACTTAAAAATTACAGAGATTAGTACTATCAGTTTGATACACTAAGCTGACTGAGAATATGGTCAACTGCTTATCACAGAGAAAATTGCTATTCCTCTGAAAATCTAACATAGCTTATTTACCCGTAGCAGCAACAATACTGAAGTAAGCAATTATCCTTCATACAACCCCCTTTGGCAAAACAGAAAAGGGCACACCAGAATTTAAAGTGTGGGGACCTGTCTCCTTCATGGTGCACACTTATTGAGAAATAAGAGCCATCATTCCACTCACCATTGGTATCACGCATCTCTTCCTCTCGCTTCTTCATATAGGCGAAATCATTAACAATAGACTCTGAAAGGTCTTCTAGGCGTCGTAGCTCCACCTCCAAAGGTTTGAGCTTCTCAACTTTTGCAATCTGGAAAAGAAAGGAATTATGAACCCATTCCCTGAAAAAACTGCTCCAATCAAGAACACAAAGTAACAGAGGAGACTTTTTAAAAGTTTCACCAAGCTTAAAATCTCTTCTGCCATCATTCTAACTCATTTTAAAATTTGGGCATCTTCCCTTCCCTATAACCCCTTTATATGTTTCCATCTCACTTTTTTAATACTTTAATTTTGATTAAAACCTCCTTAGAAGCACTGTAATATGGTAGGCTATAAAAGATACTATTTTCCCAAGATTTCTGACTTAATAAAGCACTTAACTTTGCCTTTCCACTTATGTCTAAGAAATAAACAATATTATTAGAGTAAGTGTGAGAATCATAGTATTAGTCAAATGTGGTTTTAGAAGAAAACAACAAATTCCCAACAGGGACTGCACAGGAATGAGAGAGTATGTAAACCATAGCAGCATTAAGATGATAAATCAAACCGTAAAATTAGAGAATTCTGATTTGCTCATTTAAATTCCACAACAGCTCTAAGGTTTGCTTCAAAGCTCTAGAGCACAGATGAATCCTAGGTCTGCTAAAGAAGACAAAACAAAACAAAAAAGCTGCACTGTGTATTTTGTTTTTAATTACACAGCCAGTTATCAAAAGAAATCTCCAAAGACTTCCCTGTATGCTCAGTAATGAAGGGTGTGAGAAAGAAATAAACTATCTTCCTTTTCCAAACTAGACCACTGTGAAATCTCCAAGAGTATCTGATAACTAAAGTCATACATGACCAAAGCAAGGATTTCATTATTCTATTTGTTTTTTCTTATCAATCTTAGACTATGATTTACGTTTAAAATGGGGATAGACCACCAGAGCTTTCCAGATATTAATACTCATATACCAGCTGCTCTTACATTTTTTCCACAGAGAATTCTTTGAAAAAATGTATCTACATTTGCTTTTTTGCTCCCTATTTCCCATTCATTCTCTCTATGCACCTCCCTACTTTTTCTTTTGTCCAGTTCACCTTCCGTGTTCTTTTTCTGTTAAATGTTAACAGCAGTTAATATGGGCTGAATGGGGGTTTAAGGGTGTTCTTATGTTCTCTCTGCTAAACTATATTTTTCACCAAATACATGAAGAACAAGATAAAGTTCTTTAAAATAAAATTAGAAGCTGTTATTAAGGTAGGGATTTAAAACTTGAGTTTATATTTAAGGTACCTAAAATGTGGTGTTGGATTTGTAATGATCTACCTAAGTTTTCTCTCACTGGATGTACATTTTCTTACATTCATAAAACGCTGGGTAGTTAATGGCATGACTGACAGCTACAGAACAGAATAAAGCTAATTGGGTATAAGATTTACCAAATGGTTAGTTGTGTGTGTGTGTGTACTACTGATTTCATATAGAGCATATAGAGGGGCAGAGCAAAGAAATTCTCCAGGAAAAAGATACAGAAGATATATAATAAGATGAACCTTAGGCTGTTAAACATTTTCCCTTCTGGTGTGTACCTTCCCCTCCAAAGCTTCCTGAATGAGACAGCCTAAAGGCAATGGCATGATACATCTTTAGAGTTAAGTGATTTAAGGCTCCCTGAATAGAAACTTACAAAAGGAACTAGAAGTGAAACTATGGCTGTGCCTCTGCCAGCTGAAAATAATATTTTAAAAAATTACTTTGAAGACGACTTCTAACTCCCCACTCTTTTTTTGGTTAAACGACAGTAGCCCAAAGGCCCAAAACCCAAAAAAGGATGAGAGAATTAAAATAAATTTGATACTGAGAATGGCCTTTGTAGATTATAGCCCAAAAACCTGTTCCCAATCCTTTCCTTTCTGGTGTTTCATTTATTTTTCAGTTGTTCAAGAAACACATTAATATGTCCTCCTGCTGAAGAATTTAAATTATTCAGAAGCAAAGGGAACAAAGACAAAAGCCCCATCTTCATAGCTCCTTAATCCCCATATTCCTTCACAGAGGTAACCTTGGTTGTGAACCTGGTGTGTATCTTTTCAGACCTTGTTAGAAGGTACACACACAACTTACGCTTTTGTATGTGTAAAAATGACGCAGAAAAATATAATTAAAATAGTTACAAATATAATCATAATGTATATATTGTCCTATGGCTTCCTTTTTTTCATTTTCTTTCCAAAAACTTCAGTGATTGTAGATTCACCTCATTCTTATTAAATGCTGTATAGTATTCCATATGGCATACAGATCATTGTATACTTAATCCTTCAATTCCTTAATCCCTTTTCTAGTATAGGGCCTACTCTAAATCTATACCTCTATTCATAATGTATCTTCCAAGTAGATTTCATTTCCTCAATGAAATAATTACTCTATGCTATCCTTAATTCAGTAAATTATTTTTATACTTCTTGAGTGGGACGAAGGTCTCTTTCCCTAATAAAAAAATTCTTTACCCAAGAACTATCTCTATTCTTGATATTACTTTAAAATCTAGTAAACTTGAAGAACTGTCAAGAAACTAAAACAACACTGAACATCAACTTGCTGTTTCAACCATCTAACACATCATGGATACTTGGTGGTAAACAGCAAAAATAACGAATCTATTTCTACATTTAATCTAAACCTAGAAATCAAAAGAAATGTAAAAAAGTTTTTAAAAAATATTTTTAAGACCCTAACAACAGTGCTTTTTTGAGTGCTTACTATGTGTGCAAGGCACCAAGATAAATTATGATCTCTGCTCCTAATAAGCTTACAGTCAGGTGGAGAGGCTCACATAAAAAGCTATAACCATAATATAAAGCATTATGTATTAACTTCTACAACAAAGGTACACATCAGAAGTGGAATGGAAAGAAAGTAGCATGAGATTAATTATAATTGGAAGGATAACGGAAAGCTTAACAGGGAATGGGTGAATTGCATCTCACAAGTTGTGCAGGATTTTAAAAGATGAGAGAGACAGACATTTAAGGCTGAGGGGAACCTGTAAACCAACACACAGAGGGAGGAGAGTGTAGGCTCTGGGAGATCACGTGTAGTCCAGTTATAAATAGGTGCGCGTGTGTGTGCATGCACACAATCATGTGTTAATACACACACGTGCTTGGGGATGGAGGGTGGGTGATGGTAAATATAAGGCTCAAAAGTTAGGCTGAAGCTAAATTGAGGAAGAAGATGAAAAAGGTAATGCAATGAATTAAACCTATTAGTATAAATCCAGAATGTGATACATATTGTATATCTTGTCATCTCACTTAATCCTCATAACCCTATATATAGAGTGAATATGATTATTCCTAAATTTCTCAGGTGGGAAACTAAGGCTCTAAGTATTAAATTACTTGCCCAAGATCTCAGAGCTTCGTGGAGCTGGATTGCAATCCAAGTCTGAGTTTATATTTTATTGTGTAAGTGTTTTTCTGGCTCAGAGGTGAAGTTAATGAGCTACATTAGGCTGCAAGGATCTGAGTAAGTTGTCCAGTTTATCAGTCAAACTTCCTAGTTTTCATACTGCTATTACTCTAATTTTTATAGACTAAGAGAGTAAAATTCAAAAACAAATTATCCTAAGTATCAGGTAGACCCTCTTCACTTTCCCAGGACTAAGCATTCAGCCAGTATCACTGAGACTATATCACAGAGAGTGAAAAAGCTAACAAGAAAAGCTCTATCAATACGCCCACTGACTGTTCTGCTATTCTAAGCACCTGATTTAATGTTCAAAGTGTCTGTAAGAATGTGACATTATACATGTTTCATGAAGGCATGTCATTATTCTTCTAGTCTACTTTTATCTTCCTTGGTTGAAAGGATGACATGTGTTTTGTCAACAGTTCGATAAAAGCAAAGCCTATTTAACAATATGTAACAAAGGTTCTCCACTAGGAGGTAGCATTCCCCTTGTAGGCTGCATTTAGCCACTAACCAACCAAAGAATATCAGAGCTACAAGAGACTTCATTTTACAAATGAGGAAAACTTGACGATTCCGTAAAGTTACTCAGTCCTTCGGGTGGAAGACCAAGACTAGCAGAACCATGGTCTCTTGACTCCCTACCCAGGGTTACCAAAGCATTTATTCAGCATCAAATCTGCAAAGCTCTGCTCTAAAACACAAGCAAAAAGGAATCCCTGACTTCCAAAAGCACACATACTCAGCGTATCCAAATCTTACCTATCTTTCTAGCATTAACCAGGAAGCCTCCTTTAACCACCCCGTCCACACTGATTCCCTCTTCCCTAAAGCCGTACAATACTTAGACTGTGCCACACAATTAACATTCAGACATTGTTCTATTCACATGATTTTGATTTTCATCTTTTTTCCCCACACTAGTTTAGATCTTGAACTCAACGGAATTAAAACGATGCACACTTTGTATAATCCCAAAAGCCTGATACATGGTACACACATGTAACTGACCCATTATGGCCATTCTGTGCCTTTCTTCAAAGGAGCCAACTTTCTCACAGTGGATATTAGGTGCTGCTGATCCCCTGAAGTCATCAGTTCCTATACATTAACAGCATTCTGTACCTACTTTTACTCAGCATTCATTTTCACAAGGCCCACTGCCTAGGAGAAAGTTCTATCACAGTATCTATTACCACAATATCTATCACTCTCATCTGCAGTGGTAGGTAGTGCTTGGAAAAGCTTTCCCTGCACATCTACAATACCTCCAAAATAACTGTAAAATTACTACTTCTTAAACCACATCCAAATCTTCCATTCCAATGATGATCTGAATCTATCGAGTTCAGTTATATGTAATTGTACCAAGGAAAGGTGTTAAATCTGAAAAATTGCTTAAACACACATGTGAAACCAGCCTATAGAGAATCACTAGATTCTTTTCCTTGGTGGAACATTAAGAAACTTGAGAGAAGCTTCTTGAGGTAAGCCAGATGCAGTCAAATTATTCTGTTATCTCCACAGCCTCTGCAAATTTTAGAAGCATAGCAACAAAAATGGAGACTATCCAGTCTAATATAATCAAGATAAAGAAGACAGACTTACACCCAAAGGCAAGGCAAGTCTACTTATGCGTGGGGGTATATGAATCACAGGCTTCTCCATGGAAGGTCAAAAGGTCAACAATGTGCCAAAGTAAGTCCAGATAATACTGCCAATCTTAGGGCTAAATGAATGAAATTTAGCAAGATCCTATTTACACTGCCATAGCCATCTGGCAGTTTCCAGAAAGGGAAGAAGTGAGATAAAATCTACTAAACTGATTACTTACGTGTCAGGTGCTTTACCCATGTTATTTCATTTAACTTATGTCAGGAAGGGGATTTGAGATCTAGTATGTAGAAGCAGAGTTCCTCCTTCCTGAGGGCATTCAGAGAAAAAGAACTTTTGGAAAGTCTTCAGCTGTTACTCCAACAAAGGCAACTATGTTTTTGATGTATCTGTTGATAGCAAATGACAGACCAGTAGAACTCCTAGGCAAAACAGGATTTTAGTTGTGGTGAAATGCTGATATTCACAGCATGAAGGGACATACACAGCCCAAGAGTTAGAGGATATGTCAGACAGCTCCTTCTTGGGATAATTACCTTCATCCCCACAACTGTATGAACAGACAGTAAGTCCCTGCAAACAGCTGTTCTAGTTCACAGACCACAAACTAAAAAGAGATGCACATATTGATTCTACAAAGATGCCATCCTCTGAGGGGCAAAAGATAGTGGTGAGAGGTCCTTAAAATAGAACAGAGGGAATCAAAAGTACTTCATTTCTGAGGCCATATGCATTCTGTCTCTTTAAAGAATTCAAAATACAAGACTATGCTTCTTTACAAAATGGCAACCATTCTGCCTTCCAAATACTATCACGTTACATTTATATCGTGTTTGCATAGCAATCCACATGCATTAACTAATCCTCCATAACAATTTAGCAAGTAGCGTGGTCCTCTGCCCAGCTATTAAAACACTGATTTCTAACGAATTTTACAGGACCACATAGGGTTTCAGAATTAAGAAGTCCACAAGTGTGAGGGAGAGAGACGTTAGATGTGAAAAAATTAAAGAAACGTGACATTTTCCTAAATCTAAAAACTGATGCTAAAGGGCCCTAAACTTCTGGAGATAAAGGCTTTCCACTGCCTCAAAACCTCTACCTATGCTTAGTGCTCTCTGGTAATTAACCAAGGAACAAGTGCTTCTATTATCCATGTTCTTGTCACAGTATTAGCCCAGAGACAACTAACAGCTGTTTTTGAGCAAGGTTCAAGGGAGCCTAGCCACAGACTGAGAAAAAGGGCTGGTCTTTGGCCTGTGTCATAACCACTTCTCCTCCTCTGTCTCAGTCTGATCTGCTTTTTTGGTGGTAGGAGGGTAGGTCACCGAACAAAGTAGTGGGAGGAGTTTCTTGGTTAGGTAACAGAATTTAAGAGTTGTGTTGTAACCATGTGCGTAAAGAAAGGCTTAGGACGTGCCAGACTTTCGAAGCAGGAAGCAGGCAAAGGAAGCACTGTGGTTTCCTTTCTGCTAGGGATTCCCCTCTTGGGTTAAGTAAAAGGTCAGAAAAGATAAAGGCCCTTTCCCAGTGTCAACTAAGTCCAAGGACAATGGAAATTCCAGGAGGTATGGGGGTTCTAAAATGTTATACGACAGTGATGTCCACATCATTCTGTATGTAAACTCACAACAATACTATGTGTTTTAGAGAAGAACAAGCTGTGTCTAATGTCTAATCAAGTGTCCTGTCATTTAATATAGATTACCTAATGATGGCCATCATATTGGGGGCGGATTACGACAGGTAAAAATTCCACATAGTAGGAATTCAATGAATGCTTGCTTAGAGAATGGTCTGAGGCTGAGGATATAGCAGTAGTAATCCAAAACTGAAAATCTTTTACCTATTCTTCCACCTCCTAACAATAAAACATTTTTCTTAGTGTTTTATACCTTACAACAGCACTTTAACTTTATAATTAATTATAATTTAGATTCTTCTGAATCATAAAAGTTGAAAAGGATTTTCAACTTATTCCATCAAAAAGGCTCTTGCTTTATTTCTTTTAATTAAACTAGCCTGGAGACCGAAACAAGCAAATCAAAGTCTCTACCAGGAACTGTCTTCCATTCATGTTTGCATTGCTTGCTCCTGTTTATTGCCCATAAATAACTCAGTCTAGTTTTGTTCAGTTGAGCACATGAACTAGGGAAGAAGAGGAAAGACCTCAAGAGCTGCAATTACTGCAGTGCTCCTTCCTGCTGCAGGATTTGCCAGGCGCTTCCAGTCTTCTTCCATTTTAGGCTATTTCCCTGCCAAGTTCTGACCAAAGATAGAACAACTTCTCCTTGTTACATCATTCCTAGAAAATACCCTAAAATCATTTAAAACAACTTCCCTTTGTTTATACAGTTTACATTCTTCAAAGGCCATTTACATCTCCTGTACCACCCCACCTCTTCTTCATGCCTTCAGCTACTGTCGTAAAAAGACTCTGATCTGGGTAAAAACACTCTTATCTTTCTGTAAAGATCAATCCTTCGGTCCTAAATAGTTCTGGTGGTTTTTCAAAGGTGCTCTTCATTTGAAGAACCATCTTGTGCTGACCTAGAGTCTCTCATAATAGAGGAAAAAAAAGGGCTCAGTCCCCCTTCCCCTTATTATATGCACACCCCCACCTCCCTACCATCCAAGTAAGTGTCAGTTTTTAATCTCTACAGTACTTCCTGTCAACAAAAACCTAGTCTCTTGCAGTTTTTTCTTCCATCTTGCTCTCTTCCTGAAAAGTTTGAAATTATTTTAACTAAAAGCTACTCTTGCCTATTGTGTTTCTCAAAGACAGCACAGCACTGAATCCGTGCCCTAGCTATCTATATTAACTGTCAGTCTGCAAATAAAAGCCGTAAGAATTAAAAGCAAATCATTTTTCTTAACCTTGAACACTAACATATAAATGAATTCCAGCTTTTAAAAATTATAAATATATATCTGGTCCCTGTCTCAAGAGAACTAATGGCATGTGCTTGAGTGTTTTATCACACCAATATTTTTATGGGACAGTTGGTCCAGTCATCTGGCTGACAGCACAGCCAGAATTATTGTTCAAGGCTGTTAACACAACTTTTTATATCAAGCTGGTTGTCACATGACTGCTGAGAAAACCACAGCCTTCTGGGCAAAGCACAGCCTGTTGGCCTGACTAGGTCACAGAAACCTCACAGAGCACGGCATGCTACTGCCTCCATTGGCTGTTAAATCAGGACATACCTCTTCGTAATTTTTTGCCTCTACTCCATGCTTCATGTCTAGGATCACGAGTTGGTCAGGTATCCGCCCTGTTCCTGAGAAAGAAATCAAAGGATTCATTGTGCGAAATATTTAAAATTCCGGTAAATCACCCACCCACCCTCCCTCTCCCTAGCCTCAACCCTCTCAATAGAGGGAAATAGCCGCAACTCCTCCCCCTACTCAGCTGCAGAAAATTCCTGGCTCTGGCTAAAATCTCAAGCATTCCAGACAAAGCCTCTATCTGTATGGGGTGCCGGAAAGCAACGAGAACATGCTGCTGGCAAACATCTCTGAAGGAGCAGGACACAAGATACTGTCGCTAGTACTTCAGAGGGATAAAACAGGAGAAGAGAAAACACATAGGCTTATCGGATTAGGAAATACAACTCAAAAGTCAAAACAGTATACAACTGAGTGGCATATGGACCAGTAATAGGTAGTGGGCACCAACTCAGGCTGAAAAGGGACACTTCCACACCTGAAAAAGCTGCCCTGTGAAATTTTGAGAAAAGGATTAGGGGTATACGCTAAACTTGAATTTACTTAATACAAATATAAGTACTGAAAAGAACACAGGGTTTTTCTAATATTCCAGTTAATTTAAACATTTTGGTCAAAGTAAAGCCATTTCAATAGGTAAGTAAAATGTTACAGGACTATTTCCATAAAGCCCTTAAAAGAAAAGAGCCCAAGAAGAAACTTAACAATAAGAATTCAATTCTCAGAGATACTTTTTTACACAGAAAAATGTCTACTTGGGATAGTAGGACCAACAGAGCAATGTTCTTATTAGAAAAAGTAATCTGATTCAGCTTGATCAAAAAGGAATCATCAAGTGGGAGAAAAGGAAAGATTCAAAAGAGCCCCAGAAAACTGATCAGTCCCTGGAATTCACCAGAGTACTTATAAAATTAAAAACTGCTGCATGAAATTAGGAGTTTTGGGAAACAGTGCCACTTAAGCATCTGGTGTTCCTGAGACCATAATAAGCTACAGAGAATGGTACTGTACCCTGAGAGACACTGGAAATTTTCTGAAATGGACTGAAGTCAATTCAATAAATACTCATTGGGAACTCACTGGGTGCTAGAACTGTGCTGGAGATAACAATCTCTGCCTTCAAAGAACTTGATGGGCATCAAGACATAAATATGAGTAAGTTACAGTGAAAATGCAAAGCAGTATAAAACTTTTAAGGAAAAAAAATCGTTCAGATAATTCCAGCTATGCAGCAAAAGTTAGAAGAGGGAAGAGATTAGTTTGAGGACAGACTTCACTCGAGGTAGCACCTGAAGGCAGACAGAGTATCCCAGGCAGAAGGCAACACATGAGTCAAGACTCAGATACTGAATGGAATATGGCACGTTTAAAATACAGTAAAGACGTTCTTTTGGATAGATTAGAAAGACCAATTTGAAAGTAATAAGACTGAATAGGAAGGATTAAGAAACCAAGACAAGTCATATATATCTTCCAAGCATTAAACCAATTTCCAAAACAAAACAAAACAAAATAAAAAGTGACACCTAGAGAGGTCTCTTCTCCCAAATCCAATATGCAATCCTGATCACAGCATTGCCCAAAGGAGATTCAATGTGAATTTTTACTTCTACTTCATTTAAAAAGTTATGAAATCCAAGCAGCTCACAGCCCTACCTGGTCCAAATGATCAAGATATTCTTTTCCTAAAAGACTCTTCCCACTATCTCTGTTTGCCACAGCACAGCATTAGCATTATTCAAACACAAGCAAAACCACAAAACCACAGACTGAATCCAGACCATATGGTCTCTTGCATAGAACAGCCAAACCTATCCCCACAGCTGACATCATGGCTCTAAAGGGTCTCCTCTGTAAAAAAGACCCTTTAGTAATTTCTCTCTGCAACTGCCTGGCAAATAGACAATCTTAAAAAGTGTGCCAACGACTACAAAGTATCAGGTCTCCAACAGAATGAACAGAGAACACTAATGAAACTAGAAACTGAGTGCTGACTATAATATGCGTGTACACAGACATTTATACATGTATACACACACACATTTTTTATTTAATTTTTTTTTAATGGAGGTACTGGGGATTGAACCCAGGACCTTGTGCTTGCTAAGCAGGCACTCTACCACTAAGCTATACCCTCCCTGCTGCACACACACATTTTTAAATAAGTTCCCAGGCATATACATGCATAAGCATATTAAAAAACTCAGAACAAAGATAATCTCTGCCTTCAGAGTTCAAAATTGGGAATGTAAGATACACATGAGACATTTAAACACGAGGTTGTATGTGCAATATATATATATATATATATCTAAATACCTAAATAAATAATCCAATCAGTAAGTGATGACACTATTTAGAGGATGCCACACTGACCTCTGTTCTGTTTCTGAGACATGCTCAGCATCTCAAGGTGTTTGCTTTTTCTCCAAAGCCCTCATTACCATCTGACTTATATTTGTCTACTGTCTGTTCACTCCAATGAAAATATAAGCGCCACTGACAACTGACTTGTTTTATTCACTGCTATATCCCCAACACCTAGAACAGTGTTGGATGAATCAATCAATTGATTGAGATACTGAGCAAATCATAATGGTTGAGGCCCGTACAATACAAAAACTAAAGGTTAACTCATGTTTTATGGGAAGAGAACATTCTAGCAAATGAATTAATGTGACATGTTTAGAGGGCAGAGCAAACCAGAATGGCTAGGGTCTGATGAGCAGTGGAAGATAAGGTTGGGATGGAGTAAGAACATAATGACTATTAAATGCCATGATGCCTAAAATCCTGTCCAGCCTGAAAATTCCATGATTCTGCATTTCATTCTATAGAACAGAAGCATTACTGCCACTACAAAGAAGGGAAAGCTTCTGAAAGAGGACTGACATGATGAAAGATGTGTTTTAGAAGACAAATCTGGTAGCAGTTGGATACATTAAAAGCTGGGATATCAGTTAGAAAGCTAATGACATAGTCCATGACTTAAAAGATTAGAGTTCAAGATTTGTGTGGTGACAATACAGAAGTTATTTTGAAAGAAGTATCAGCCTAACTTGATGATAGACTGGAAAAGACAAAAATACGTAATTTCAAAAATGTAAGCCCAAGTAATGGGAAGGATGGTGGTAATACTGATGAGTAAAAGGAACTAATTTGAAAGGAAAGGTTATGGCCACAGTCTAAGACATCCTAGTTTTGAGGTAAGAATGGCACAACCAACTGGAAATGTTTGGAATACTGTTGAGACATCCTGGAACCAGCAGCGGTGGGGGCAGAGAGAAGGGTATCAGTTATGAAATCACTATTAAAGTCCTTTAGTTTTCTTTTTGTGTGTGTGTAGTTTTTTGGGGGGGGGGCGGGAATTAGGTTATTTATTTATTTATTTATTCTCAGAGGAGGTACTGGGGATTGAACCCAGGACCTTGTGCATGCTAAGTGTGCACTCTACCACTTGAGCTATACCCTCTCCCCTAATTTTCTGTTCTTAATCTATTATTCCATTTACCTCAGGTGAACTCCCTCAGCTTTTAGGCTAAAGTGACCCACTTAAGATAAAGGCAGTCAATTCTTGATTAACTGTCAAAAGCAGCTAGTTCGTCTATTATTCCTGGGAATCTATTAGTACTGTTGCTAAGGTGTTTGCTCTTCTTTTAGGATCATATATTCTGAATATATTCTATATATTCTATAAATCTACAATTGCCAGGAGTCTTTTTGCTACCATACAGAGAAAGCTTGAAAATAAAGTCAAATGGAGGCAAAAAACAAACAAACAAACAAAAAGCACTAAAAATGAGGTAAGGTTCTAATGATACTGATAAAAAATCCAAGATCCAAACAAGTTTATATTGTATAGCACAGAGAACTATATTTAGTATCTTGTAGTAACCTATAATGAAAAAGAATACAAAAACAAATATATGTATATATGTGTATGACTGAAACATTATGCTGTACACCAGAAATTGACACAACATTGTAAGCTGACTATACTTCAATTAAAAAAAAACAAAAACAAAACCCAAGACATAGGGGTGCCCGAAGTCAGCGCTACACTGTAGACTTCCTGATTCAGAGAGTCAACGTGGTCTTCTTCTTCCGCTTTAAGCCAATCTGACTTATGTTTTTGCATCTTGCAATCCCAAAGGGTCCCAAGTAATGTAACATGTATGAATGCATACAGCTTTTAGAGTCTCATGTCCCTGAAGCTGAAGAATAGGCATTGAAAAGGCATCTGCTTTTCACCCACCACTGAGCACAGAAGCCATCAGGTAATCAGCCTAAAAGTTACTATGGGCTCCTGGCCTTGAGATGCACAGAAGAAACCATAGCAAGATGTAAGGGCTAGGCAACAGCAAGTGCCCTGGAGATCAAAACTGCTTCTGACTTTGCCATATATTATTTGTCAGACAGACCCTACTTCTAATCCCTTAAAAAACATGTCACTAGCATATAAATGCACTATTTTCTAGCATCTATACCAAATTCAACTCTATCATTTAAGCTAAGTATATCACAGCATTCAAGAAATGCCTGCTCCTGCACATGAAGAACAACTTCACCGATCAGCCAGCCTTCACTTATATGTGTGTGCACCCCAGCAAAGTTTTCACTTCCTCTTCCTGTCCAGTCCAAGAGAGAAAATTCATGCTCTAGCTTGCTTAGATGAAGATGCTTAACTCAGGGAAAACATTCTGATTTACTTACCCTTGCTCTCAAAACACACTTCGAACATGTCGTCATCCTCAGTGGTAAAGGCAAATTTTCCCTTGGTTGCATCCTCCTTGGAGTACAGAATATGGCCAGCAGAATCTGTGATCTAAAATTAGAAAGTAAGTCAGAATAGGCAGCAAATAATACTCAGGAAGAGAATTTATAGAAACTGGGTAAGTTGAAAGAAACGCTGTCTATAAAGGACAGTTTACATTTCTTATTATGATGACTATAGTCCAACTATTCCCAAAGACAGGAAATGGATTAGAAGTGAAACCCAAACACAGCAAATTTCATACATTCTAACAGCCCATCCACACTGCAGGCTAAAATCTATTACCGCTATAAAATGCCTTACCATATCAAAAAGTTGATATAAAGTGGGTTTATTAAGAAAAGTTCACTTCATAGAATGTACACCAGTATCATTCCCTGGAAAGGGACATGTCACAAAAATAGAAGTGGACAAATACCAAAACAATATATAACAAAAAGGAGAAAAATATATAAGAACATATTTCTTGTGTAAAACAAATCTTGATGCAGTGGAGGTGGAGAGTGGAAATGGGACACCTGATACCAGGAGAGAAGGAAAAGAAGGCATGCATAGAGAAAAAAATTTGGGAGATCTATTCCTGCAAACTGCATTTAATTATGTCAATGGCTATGTGGGGATGGGGGAGGCAGGGTGGGTAAACAAGTAGTTTCTCCTAAAAAAGACATCCTTGACTTCCAGAAATGATAATTCCTTTCCTCTAGGTTGTTGAATTTAGTTCTCCAAACTCATAAACTTCTCCACTCATTGAGAATGGCCTGTAAGCACAGATGAAGTGCACATACTGGTAAGTGAACAATCACATATAAAAGCAAGGACATAGTACAGTAATAAGACAGACTGGATCTCAGGCTTCTTTTCTGTCTTAGTAGAAGACACATTTCATTATCTAATACAGAAAGCTACTTGCAAAGTGGAACACAAAAGTAGTGAATTTATTGTATTAAACTGGATATTCTAATGCTGTGACTCAATTATAAATCAGATTTTAAATACAAAAACTGAGTAGCATACATATAAGCTTATATATTTAAAGCACTTCAATAACACTAGTTACTTTTTGACTAGTGAGATTTCTTTATACTTTTTTTCTATAGAGGTATGTATCATGATTAGAAACAAAGTTACTTTAGTTTAAGAAAAAAGCATAATAGCAAAAGAATAGTTACCACTGCTAGACAAAATTGAAACAATGGGTTAATAAAAAAGGCTTTATGGCATATCTTCTAAATTCCCTAAGAATAACAGCAGTAATATTAATCAAGTATCTTCTTCCATGAATGATGCTGATCATTCATTAATTTGTCAAGCATTTAAGATGCATGGGAGAAAATGTATGCCTAGAGGCAGGCACAAGTGCCGTGGGATTATAGGGGGTCAGAGTGTCATAGAGGAAGTGACACATGAACTAAGTTCTGAAGAATGAGCTGCAATCAAGGGAAGAAAAGGGGTAAAGCCACTCAGAGTAGAAGAGATGGCAACTATGAAGGTCTGGGTTCAGAAAAGGAAAACAAGACAAAAATATGGTATCATCATAAGACTAAGCAGATAATATTTATTAAGCACTTACTAAGTATTGAGTACTTTGCCAAGAGCTTTATATGCATTTTTAATTTAATCCTCACTATAACCCTTTAGGTAAGAACTATTATTGCTCCTATGATCCACAGGAGGAAACTGAGGCACAGAGAGGTTAAGTGGTTAGAGAGATACTGGCCAGATCATGTAGAACTACAACAACATGCTAATGAGTTTATTTCGTACAAAGTGGAAAGGCAATTAAGAATTTGAAACAAGAAAAATGATGTGATTCAATTTGCAATTTAGAAAGATGAATCTGATAATACTGTGAAGACAGACTCAAGAGGGACAATAACAGAGATAAGAAGATGGGTTAGGCCCCTATTCCAGGAATCCAGGTTAGAAATGACGAAGGCTTTGGGTATGGAGAGAAGGGGCCAGATTTGAGGAATGTTTAAAAGGGAGAGCTCACCTACAGGACAAGACCAAAGATTGAATGCCCACAAGAATAGAGCAAGTAGCATAACTGCATCTAATTGGCCAGTACAAGTCCACAGGGTGTGGGAACAATGCGGCAAACTGGAGAAGACAGTCCTGTCAAGGGAGAAACTGATTACTACCATGGCATGCCAGGTTGGTTTTAGATCATCCAATTTTCCAAAAGAACCTAAATGTTTTAACTTTTATTTGAAATCTCCTAGTTTTTAAATCCTCACAACCAATCCCAACATTTGAAAAAACTATCTCCAGGCCAAACAAAAGATGTCTACAGAACCAACTTCTTCTGAGCTACCAGTATCTGACCTCTGCATAGGATAGGAAGAAAGTTGACTAAAATCACATAAACCAACTGCTGGGCAGCACTGAGGGCTCAGCTGAGATCAGGGACCAGGATCTGGCAGCTAGATGAGATCAGGCCACATCTAGCTGCCAGAATGCAGGAGCAAAGACAAGTATTAAGTGATTTAGGTCTGGGATTCTGCAACTGAGTGGTTTGGAAGGATAAGGGGATTAAGGAATTATGTTATAAACTTAACCTACACAGTCTTTAATCCTCACAACAATCCCAGGGAGGCCAGTCTTATTATCCCCATTTTATTGATGCAGATGCTTAGTAACTTGCTCATTATCACAGAGTCAGTAAACTGTGTATATAGACTTGAAGATAGGGTCTAAAACCTATGCTCTTTCCACATTCCACGTTGCCTCCCCACAAAAGGAATGGTTCAAAGAAGTGGAAAGCACAGAAGCCAAGAAAGACTAACAGAATCTGATAGATTCTGTGGGTCAGTGCATGTCAGAGAACCTGAGCATCCTCCTGAGCAGGACATAGTACTGTTCAGTCTGCAACCTCTACCTGAGAGGGATTTGCAGGCAGCCACAAGGTAGACTCCTTAAAGTCAGCAATAAATAAATAATCTGCACAGGAATATTTAGCCCTGAAGATTCCTAAAGGCCTTTTGTTCATGGGATATTTTTCCTGAATTATCAACTAAAAGAAAAAGCAAATTTTATCAAAAGCTTTTTCTGCAGCTATTGAGATGATCGTATGGTTTTTATTCTTCAGTTTGTTAATGTGGTATCACACTGACTGATTTGTGGATATTGAAAAATCCTTGCATGCCTGGAATAAATCCCACTTGATCATGGTGTATGATCCTTTTAATATCTTGTCAGAGTAAATCTGCTAGTATTTTGTTGAGGATTTCTGCATTTATGTTCATCAGTGATACTGGCCTATAATTGTCTTTTTTTTTTTTGTTAATATCTTTGCCTGGTTTTGGTATCATGGTGATGGTGGTCTCAAAGAATGAGTTAGGAAGTGTTCTTTCCTCTGCAATTTTTGGGAATAGTTTCAGAAGGGTAGGTGTCAGCTCTTCTCTAAATGTTTGGTAGAATTCACCTGTGAAGACACCTGGTCCTGGATTTTTGTTTGTTGGGAGTTTTAAAATTACTGATTCAACTTCAGTACTGGTAATTACTGCTCATATTTTCTATTTCTTCCTGGTTCAGTCTTGGGAGATTATACCTCAGAATTTGTCCATTTCTTCAATATTGTCCATTTTATTGGAGTATAGGTGCTTATAGTAGTCTTTTATGGTCCTTTGTATTTCTGTGGTGTCAGTTGTAACTTCTTTTTCATTTCTGATTTTAAGGATCTGGGCCCTCTCCTATTTTTCTTGATGAGTCTGGCTAAAGTTTATTCATTTTATTTATCTTTTCAAAGAACCATCCTTAAGTTTCGATCAATGAAACTTAAAGTCTCCTCTATTTCATTTATTCTGCTCTGAACTTTATTATTTCTTTCCTCTACTAACTTTGGATTTTGTTTGTTCTACTTTCCCTAGGTGCTTTAGGCATAAGGTTAAATTGTTTCTTGAGGTTTTTTTTTTTTATTTCCTGAGGGAAGCCTGTATCATAAATTCCCTCTTAGAACTGTTTCTGCTGTGTCCCATAGGTTTTGTTGGGCGAGGGGTTTGTCTTTTTAAAATTGAAGTATAGTTGGTTTACAACATTGCGTTAATTCCTGGTGTATAGCATAGTGTTTCAGTTATACATATATATTCCTTTTCATATTATTTTTCATTATAGGTTAGTACAAGATATTGGACAGCAAGTTCCTGTGCTGAACAGTAGAACCTCGTTGTTTACCTATTTTATATATAGTAGTTAGTATCTGCAAATCCTGAATCCCATAGGTTTTAGATCATTATGTTTTCATTTTCATTTGTCTCTATGTATTTTTTGATTTCCCCTTTGATTTCTTCAGTGATCCATTGGTTGCTTAACAGCATATTGTTTAGCCTCTACATGTTAGTGTTTTTTGCAGTTTTTTTTTCGCGTAGTTGATTTCTAGCTTCATAGTGTTGTGGTCGAAAAAAATGCTTGATATGATTTTGTTTTCTTATATTTACCAAGGCTTGCTTTGTGGTCCAGCATGTGATCTATCCCGGAGAATGTTCTATGTGCACTTGAATATGTAATCTGCTGCTTTCAGACAGAATGCTCTTTAAGTATCAATTAAGTCCATCAGCTGTAATGTGTCATTTAAGGCCTGTGTTTCCTTACTGATCTTCTGTCTGGATGACCTGTCCATTGATGTAAGTGGGGTGTTGAAATCCCCACTATATTTGTGCTACTGTCAATTTCACCTTTTATGTCTGTTAACATTCGCCTTATATATTGAGGTGCTCCTATGTTGGGTACATGTATATTTACAACTTATATCTTCTTGATATAGCTTTTGATAAAATTCAACATTCATTTATGATAAAAACTCTTCAGAAAGTGGGCACAGAGGGAACATATCTCAGCATAATAAAGGCCATATACGACAAACCCACAGCTAACATCATATGCCATGGTGAAAAGCTGAAAGTATGTTCTCTAAGATCAGGAACAAGGCAAGGATGCCAACTCTCACCACTTTTATTCAATATAGTTTTGGAAATCCTAGCCACAGCAATAAGAGAAGAAAAGGAAACAAAAGGAATCCAAATTGGAAAAGAAGAAGTAAAACTGTCACTATT